GAAAGATCTATTTTCGCCGACAAGGTTTGGGAAAGTGTAGCCGGCATCAAACCGATCGTCATCGAGACGTCGAGCGGGGGAGCTGTGATTGGTTGCAGCATGTTAGGGGGGAGGGCACCCTGCACACCGAGATGCTTTTCGACGTCACTCCAGGACAGCAGCGAAGCACACAGCGTCTGCGACATGTGCGCAGCAAGGGATGAAGGGTTCTGTCTGCATGCGTGTGAGCAACGAGGGATGACAGGTCATGTCTGCGTGCGAGTGGCGTAGCTGGACGACACTGTACAGTACAGTACGTACAGCGATGTAGCTGATGCCATATTGTGCAGAAGGGACCTCGGTGACTATCCGCAGATTTTCAAAATAAAGAAGGCAATCATGTGTCGGCCCTACACAGTTGGGCGACATCCGCCGAGTTCAAACATTGTCATGTGCTAGCCGCCACGTTTAACGCTAAATCCTATTTTTTCAGTGATGCTACAGGTCGCCCGCCATGTCCTAGTTTGGCCACCTGCCTTTTACTGGGGAACCATGCAGCAATGCAACGAGAAGAAGGGCAGACAATCACCGCCAGCTTGCACTGCGCCAGGGCGATCGCCTATATGCGCAAGAAGGACTCTCTGGAACTCTTGCAGTGGGCCCCCCTTTAGGAGCTCGAAGGCCGGCGACGATTAGTCTACAAGATACCAGCCGCTGTGTGGCAGGTTTGTGGATGTGCATAAAGGGTTATGGCGTGCACGTGCATTCCTGCGCGAAGAAGAAACAGCGTCACGGGGCATCGCTGGCATGCGTTTTGCAGTCGCGGCAGTGGCCAGAACGACTGTCGAGAGTGCAGCTACATTCCTTTTGGGCTTGCGAAATTGGAGCAGGCGTACTGCAGCTTTGCCTCTTCTTGCCGACGCCTAGAAGGAACAGCGAAGCGCTCCGAACATCTTCACATAGGCCGTACGTTGGAGTGCTACTGGGCGGCTCGCAATTCACCAGTCAGATTTGGCGGTTGGTTTTTTTGTGCAGTTTTGTGGGCTCGTGTGGCACTAAGGTTTCGACGCAAGCACTAGCGCGTTGTGCAGCAAAATATTCAGGCGCCTCTGGAGATGCGTGGCTTAGACCTCCACGTAACCCCGCGGGGAGCTCGCGTGACTGGGTCATGCAGCGAGCTGCAATGCATGCGACGTTGGCTCGGGGCGTTGAGGCAGTGTTAGGCAATCCACTACGGATACTAACGGAAGATGTGGCTTCGTCGTGATTAGGCGGGTTTACTTCCAGCCGGTCGCTTCTCGTGGTTATTG